CATATGATGTGCACTCTTAATAACCTATAAACCCTCCTTTTTCATCATCCAACTGGTCCGACACCATTCAGTTAATGCTATACCTGAGGCTAACTATCTAAGAGTCTGGTTGGCACAAGAAGAAGCTTTATTCATATCTCCAGGAACACGTTCTCAGGCAACAAAATACGCATAGGTAACGGGAGCAATCCCATTCGAATTTACCGCAGAGGCTGCGGACCTAATCGACTGGGTACAAGAAGATGGACCATACGATAGAATAAAAACAGCGATAATTCAACGTTCATCATTTTCTGGTGAAAAAAGATTGGAACAATTGTTGGATGCATGTGACCGTGTGGATAAGTAACCCTTGAAATTTTCATGTCATATGAAACAGCTAGCTGGTCTATAGAAATTGAACGAAGCTCTTTTGAATCACATGTGGTTTCAACGTTTATCACATAACGTTAGGAAAAATTCTCAGTGTATCAGAGAATTTAGTATCTCTCGAAGATTTGTTAGCTATGGCCGATAAGATAAAGGAGATCTATCAAGAATACCGCAACATAAACACGGTACGAGCTGTCGGAAGATCAGATTTATGTAGCACAGCAACTTTTAGGCAAAAGTTAATGGAACTGAAAAAAATCAATTAGGATCATTACAAGCAACGATAACCATGGTACAAATCAGACGACACAGATCATCATCCAGCCAGAGATTATTTTGGAGGCAGCGTCCTTGATTACATAGGCGGACCTCAGGAGTCTGTTGGCATCGTCAGAAATATGGCAAAACGTCATGGCTTTGCACTCGACCGTGCACATTCACATCAACCAGTAATGGGAATCTGATAAATGTGCCGGCCCGACAGCAACGGCCGCTCCTGTTTCCGGTCACATCACGATCCGTCTCTTACACATCAGGGACCATATTTCTGGCCCAGACATTTTAGTCTACACAGGAGCCAAAATCAGCAAGGTCCCACTCGAGCTCTCACGACGTCGGAACACCTCAAGTATCGTCGATTCCTTGATATGTATAATTTTTACCATAGTTTACTACCTAATTGCACAGTAACATTAGAACCCGTAACAGCTCTTCTGCAAGGGAGTAAAAAAGAAACGGAGTCATAGAAAGACAAACCCTTCACGTTTTCATCCGATGCAAAACTGCTATAGATAAAGCAGTGTCTATGATATCAAATGCTACTACGTTGCTACACTAAAATCCTGACCCTACATAATACCTAGTTCTCTTCACTGATGCATCTCAGAAAGCTGTAGAAGCAGTATCACAACAACGAGTGAACGACATTTTCAAACCTATATTATTATTCTCCAAATGAATATCGCCAGCTCAATAACGTTGAGGCAACTTTGAATGTTAGTTACTAGCTATTAATTTAGCTGTAAAGCAATCAACATTCCTGATACAAGGAAGTAAATTTACCACAATGATACGTCATAAACCCTTATGTTATTCCATTAACACTTCATACGACCGACATTCGCCATGCAAAGAGTGACAACTGGATTACATCCCATAATTCACAGCAGATATCCAGTTCATCAAAGGTCATCCCGATATCGTAGCCGACGTTTCATCCCTAAAGGATATCAATATACTGGCACATTATTGAGGCACTAACCTTAAAACCATAGCCATATTACAAGTAGACGATGAAGAATAAAGAAACTGTAAACAAAATTCTGACTTGATTATCAAATCTATACCTGTTCTTTTCTCCAAATCATCTAATATATGCGATGTTTCAACCGGTAACAATCGTCCTTTTGGTATTGCTTGTCTTGTATCTTCCCATTGACGTTTAAGACTGCAATTGATCAGTCTGTTATTGGCATATGTGCATACTGTGTGTATGGCTCGATATTACCTTAATTCACAAGCTACTTGAAAGCAATGATGGATAGTGGCTAGCAGTGAAATCGAGGACGCGCGTTTCGTCCTATTTGGGACTCGTCAGCTAGATGTACTTGCATCTCGGAGTTGATGTTCACTCTGGGACTCGAACCCAGAACCATTCGCTTCAAACGCCATCGCGTTATCCACTCAGCTACTGAGTCCCGATAGCCACTTGCTTGTGCAATGAGGTGAGTTTGAATTCATTTGGTATAGTTTACATGAATCTTCTCATTGATGATTAGGACTGCAATTAATCAGTCTCATATTGGACGAAAAGGACGAAACGCGCGTTCTGGATTTCACTGTTGGCCACTATCAATCTTTGCTTATAATGTTTGTGAATCAATACAATATTGAGGCACTATGCACAGTATGCACATTTATAAATAAGAAATTGATCAATCGCAGTCGTTATTAACAATGTGAAGATACAAGCCAAACAATATCAAATGAATTCAAACTCACCTCATTGCACAAGCAAGTGGCTATCAGGACTCAGTAGCTGAGTGGATAACGCGATGGCGTTTGAAGCGAATGGTTCTGGGTTCGAGTCCCAGAGTGAACATCAACTCCGAGATGCAAGTACATCCAGCCGACGAGCCCCAAATAGGACGAAACACGCGTCCTCGATTCTACTGCTAGCCACTATCCATCATTGCTTACAAATCGTCCTTTTATTCACCAAGCTTATCGACGAAGGATATCTCAACAACTACATGTACTTGCACACCCTGGAAACCCAGACATAACCATCCCTATCAACGATCTCTTTATCTGGCCTAAAGTTGACTTGGATTTAAAGAGGTGGTCAAGAAGCTGCATGTACTATCAAAGTAGCAAGATCCAACAACACACATCCAGGCCCCTCGAGACGTTTCCACTGCATGATAGATGTTTCATGGACATACATCTCGATATAGTTGGTCTTCTTTAATCATCAAACTTTTTCACTCGTATTCTTTCCTCTGTGGACAGATTTACTAGGTGTGCGATGGTAAGCCCTATTCGACATATCAGCAGAAACTGTTGCATAAGAATTTCTTGAACAATGAATTTGGGATTATTTATTCCCATCAATTGTTACCACAGACCATGGTTCTCAGTTTAGATTTGTTTAAATTCTGTTTTAGGTATTCACCAGACTTCTGGGAGTGAACCACATATAAATCACAGCTTACCACCCATTAGCGAATGGTCTGGTTGAGGGGTATCACCATCGATTGAAAAGCTCGCTGGTGGCACAAGCTGATACTTTGTAATGGAACGAATCATCACCAAGTTTACTACTTGGTATTTGTTCGTCTATCAAAGACATTGGGTGCACATTACATGAAATAGCCCATTGTAAACCATAAAACTACCAGGACAACTAGTAGACACAGACACAACAATGCAAACTGATCCAACTCGCTTTGTGATCCGCCTATCGCAAACAATGCGAAATTGTAAAGCAATACCTCCCCGCAAGCATAAAAATCGCGTACAACTCGATAAACGTCTGCAAACGTGTAAATTCGTCTTCGTTTCAGTCGTTAAATAGCCGTTAAAACAACCGTACGAAGGACTTTGTCAGTATTTAGCGGTAAATAATCCGCAAAACCAATAACTTGGCAAGCCTTAGGCATATGGTGCCTACCATATTAGTTTTAATGGACTCACCTAGCCGAAGTGCTTGGTCACGCATTCACACCAGATCACGAGTGGGAACGCTGTGCTTAACTTCTTCTGCAACCGCTGACCATTTTGTTTCAGTCGCTCCTCGATATATTGGTAACCCATCAGATATACCTTCGGATCTCCGCGCTTCTGACTTTTGATTTTACTGAGTGGGCACGGCTCAGTTTTAGAAAATGTGGCTCGGTAAAGTGTTATCAAACTACGAATATCTGTGGGATCTTCTGGGCATTTAAACGAACAAAAACACTTTCTCATTCTCTGTAGATAGGATTATCCCAGCTTTCCACGAAGACCAACAGGACAAGGAGATTGCTACTACCAATAAACAACCTATGCCAGTAATTACTACAACATCAGACGAACATGAAAAACCTAGCAGTAATCCTGCATGTTTAACTCGCTTAGGGTGAACTGTACTAAAATCTAAGCGTTACGTTCATTTTACAGATCAAAGCAAACAATCATTGATATATGTTACACCACTAAACTAACTCGTTTTCTATTAAAAACTACTATTTTCCACACAACGTGTATATATTAGATTATATCTCACAATCACTCGTTTGGTCACATTGTCACATTCTTACCCAATCTTGGCCGGTGGATACTTGAAGAACGAACTATAAACTTCTATTACATAAACTGCAAGTATACTAATGTTTTTCCTACTGTGATTCCTACTTCCATACAACCTTAATTGTTTAAAACATAATTACGTTCCTGTTTAACCATGTTCTTATTTGTGGACTTGCCGAGTGAAGTAATTTTCAAACACTAAGATGTAAGAGAGTCTGTATCGTCCATAGAAGCCACCATTGGGAGGATGAGCATTAAATCTACATTGGCTAGTGACTAGAACTGCTGTCATTCTTGACTAAGCGCACCAGTTGTTGGGTTAGCATATTCTTAGGTTATAAGAAATGGTTTATAAAACATCTAATCTAGAATATAGTAGTCTTTATAACTAGTGTCAGTGTTTTCTGAACCACCTTACACGATGGTATTTTTTCCTCGAAAGAGCGTCTCATGAGATAATTTCGGGATATTCCTAGTCAGATTGAGCTCAGAATATGATTTATAATGCAGTATTCTTCCGTCTCCTGATTTCAGCAAGTGACTGACCGGGAGAAAGTACTGTACGCCAGCAGTGACACCGGAATTTACGCTACGAAGCCGTGTAAAGACAGTCTATCACAGAACAGATTCTGGAAGTTCGAGCTTCCTGTTTATCTCTTACCAAATCAGACTGTCGTATTCGTCTTGTAGACTGATAGAAAGGTCATAGCTGTGTTTAAAGTTCATGATAACTGAAGAATCATCACGAAAGGTGATCGCATTCCCACGTTTTCAAACAAATTGAAACAGATGTGCTTTTTGTTTGACATTTGAAAAGCAGTACTGGTTACTATGTTCTTGTTGACTGATTGGACAACATAAGGGGTGGATTGAACAGCCGATTCATTTGAGGATTTTTTTATAAAGCCTAGGCGAATTAGCACTATTGAAGCTGACCCTGACGTTTGCAAAGCGCGCTCTAACTTATGTCAAACTAGCAGATCTCGTGGCAATCTGAAAATCCGAAATCAATTGCACGGTACTAGTTTTATTTGTTACTGGATGTAAAATTCATTGTTCATTGGTTGTCTACACTGATTAATAAAAACTCTTTCTTTGGAAATGAAATTTGTTTGAGTAATGAGGAGTGTTTTTTATTTTATTGTAACAAAATTTACAGCCGGTTAACTAGTTCCACTGTATTAGCAAAATCTAGAGATATTGTTAATAAGTTGATTCTTTACAGTACTACAAATCGCAATGATTACTATGGGTCGATCGACCTATCCTTTTTACTGAATATTGGAGTATCTTAAGATACTCCATTGTGTAGAAATGTGTAGATTTTTACATGTTTATAAATACCCGTACTTTTTGATGATGTTTGTAATTTTCCAAGTTTTGAAGCAGTACAATAGGTCTGTTTAGACATCAGTGTCGAATCTCTTCGGTCTTGCGTAACGGTTCCTTAGTGGTAGGAATGTTCCATTTGCTTTGCAGATTCAAATGTGTCTACGGCATATGTTAGTCCTTTTCTAGCAAGCCGTGAGTGCCTAATCTTCTCTTGAGTGAGTCAATTTAAGGGGTAGTCACCGCATATTCGGGCAACAGTTTCGGGGAAGCGATCATTCGATATGAAAACCTTCATGTCACGGGTATTTTGTTCGTTTAGTTTTTGTACTCGCCTGTTTTATCTGAGCTGTCCTGACCTGGTAGGAAGTAAAAGAGGAAATATCAAGTGCGAAATCATATAGCATTTTGTACATTAAAACCAGGTCACCTCTTAATCTGGGGCAGGAGTTGTTGGACTAGCTTCTTAAGGCTCTCTGTTTATGGTTAACGCCTGAGTTTTGGAATTTCACGGATAACTGCCCTCTGTTCTGTTTCGAAGATATCCGAGCAATCTAAAACATGGCCTTACAGCCTCAACGCAGTTTTCAATTTTGGATCCCATTATGGTTGTGTATACTGTTGTGAAAATACAAGTATCTAACTTGCTAAATGTCCGTCCTAAAGCCCATGAAGTTCTGAACCCATTAGCTGTGATCGCACGGGAGTACCCTATGGTTTTGACTCACTGTTATTAAAAGATCATTATGAGATCAGACTATGAATATCAACTCGTTTATGTTGTTCCTGTTTACTTTCGTATTTCCCATGTGCATGTAGACACTCTTGGCCTCATTGACAGGTACCAGTCATTTTTAGACCAGCTAACCAGAACCTATAAGTCCTCCTAAGGTGCACATGCATCTGCGCTGCCGGTTAATTCTAGCCAAATCATTAAGTCATCAGCGTGAAGTAGTATCGGAGACTCAACTGTACTCGGAAGTTCATTTATATACAGTATAAAAGTAAAGAACCTAGGACAACCTTACGCTACTCCACCAAGTACTGGTTTTCAGGAGGAACATTTGGGATCTATTACTTTTTTATACGACCCGCCACGAAATCCTTGGTCCACTTTAGGAGAGGTCCAGCGATTCCCAGATTTTCTAGCTTCAGGAGGAGTCTATTATTCAGCACCTAATCAAATGCTTTGTTGAAATCTACTCAGACAGTGTCCACTGATTTCCCATTATCTGGAGCTTCTCTCTATTTCTCTCTTTCTATAAGGAGGTTTCTTGTACAAAGTAATCTATTCCTAAATCCATCTTGTTCGCTGTTTGACAAATTTTCGGTTTCCACGAATGTCATCGTGGCTTTTTTTGATTGTTTCTACCGATACTTTACTACGACACTGGTGAGGTTGACAGGTTTGTAGTTTGATAGAAGTTGTCTTAATCTTATCTTATGAGTTGGAGTGACAATTGCATCTTTCCAGTTCATCGGTAACTCGTTTTGGCTAAGTGACACACTGAATATCATAGTCAATGGGGCAGCAATGTATTGAGCAGTTTGTCTCAAGATTTTAAGGTGTAGTTCATCCGGTCCTCTTGATTTCTCTGTATTTAAGTACTAAGGACCTTTAGAAGCTCATGGCTTACAATGAATAGTCAACTTTCTGACTTTGCATCCGGGTCTATCCCTCATCTAGAAGAGGGTCCTGAATGAAAACAGCCCTGAAATAGTTCTCCATGGCCCCGTGCTTTGTCTTGGTTTCCGTCCTTCATTTATGATGCGCTCAGTAATTAGGTTGGGAATCCAATGATGCGTTCTTGTCCTGTTATTTATGTACAAGAACAGTCGCTTTGGCTTATTGATTACAGACTGGGTCAATCGCTTTTCGTATTTTCGCCGAGCTGCCTGGACTGTGCCTAAACACTTAATTTGGACCGGCCTGGAGCGTTCCATTGTATTTGCCATGCCAAGGTTGATGGCGATGTTCCAGCATTCTTTTGTCTTAGTGAACGTCGAATACTCCAGCTTATCCAGGAATGGCCGTGCTTTGTCTTCTTTGGGACTGTCCATGGTATAAATGGTTGTGTAATTGATTGTATCACTGCCGGAAATGAGTTCGTGCGATCAGTCAGTCAGTAACAACGTAGAACTTCGTACGTACGTACATCAGTTCGAGTTGCCATACCACATTAGCACAGAGATGCAGTTGTCGATTCAAATCCCGTAGAGGTAGAGGTAGTAAGAGTATAAGCAGTAATCGGGAAGATTAGTGTTTGGAGATGTTACTTAAAGAGTGAAATAAATTTGAGAAGAGAAAAAAATAGACAAGGAGTAATAAGTAGATCAAAATTTGGGAGAACACAAAGAGTGGATGCACCTGCGCCATTGCAAACAATTTTGAGCCATCTCATTCAGGGTCTCTAACCATCGGTTGCTATCATCTCGCGGTCCCCAACCAGGTAGTCTACACCTACCAACATGACTCAGTCTACTTGTCAGTGACTTCATGGACTTATGCCATGTTTTGGTCTGGCCGTCCCTAGCTTTCTTCCAACCTACTCCTATACCACTGAACATCGCACATCGAGGCAGTTGGTGGTTGGGCATACGTAACACGTGTCCCAGCCATCTCAACTGATGAAGTTTCACTACGTCATCAATTGATTTGCCATCCTTACCTAGTACCCGTTTCCTAACAACTGTGTTACTTACTCGGTGGTCCCAGGATATATGAGCGATGTTTCGAAGACACCTATGATCAAATACTAGTAACCTACGAATATTCTATACTCCTACTGGCCATTTTTCACAGCCATGAAGTAGGATTAAACGAACTACTGCATAGTAAACCTGTCCTTTGACTGGTAGACGGATATCTCGCCTACGCCATAAATGACGCAAGTTGGCAAAAGCGAGTCGAGCCTTCTGTATCCGTGCACCTCTTACTAGTGTGATGGAATCAGTTTTCCAGTTTCCAATCGAGGCTGGGGCGTTGATCGTCTTCATATATGCGTTTCATATATTAGGACGAGCCTGTTCAACTGCTTGATAGAAAGTAGAAGCCGTGAACGTGCATAAAATGACGTATGATCACTCCTTCTAGTAGTGGAAGAAACATTATTTGACTAGCCTCATCACATTGTGTAAAGACTAATTCCAAGACAAACGAGGAGTTTGTTGGATCTTTAATGTGTTGGGATAAATCTAGGGCGATTGCCGTTCCTAACAATTTGCAATAGAACTATGTTTTTGATGACCCTACTTTTAGGCTTCGCCAATTTATAAAGGGCGCATTAAATTTGTCAACTATTATGCCTTTACACTTGTTTGTTCAGGATTTAAGTTTATTTAGGAAGAAGTCATACACTACATATTCTGAACTGCGATGTACTACAACTAATTCAATGTCTTGCCCTTTGCAGTTCAGCCGGCGGCACGCCAGTTCACATGTTGCTGAGTCGTGTACCATCGTCTCGACATCTCGTATGGTTAAGGTGCTTTTCATGTGCGCGATAACCCCACCACCCTTACAGTCCTACAAAGTAAGAAACCAAGCAATCGAATCTCGCTATCATACACTTCTGACGCTAATCATGTTTCTGGGATGGAAAGGACATAAGAGCCTTCTGTATCCACCACGTTTTTAAGCTCTGCTTATTTTATTTAGTAGGTTGCGAGCATTAGTATAGCATACCTTTAATTATGTGAAATACTTTTCACCACCACCCTGAGTGGTTCGGGCATCGTTTGGCTCCGAACTTTCAATGTAGAAACCCTTAAGTACAGGTTTTTTTACTGTTCCGTCGGCGCTCATTTATTTTTGTCTCTGCCGATCGTCCCTGCAAAGGATCAAGAAAACTGAGATCCGAACGGGCACATGTCCTGCGACCAACAAGTCCCTATCGGTCACCTAAACGACTCTCTTCTGTGCCTAGCCGCCCGACCTGAGCATTCAAGTCTCCGGCTAGTACTACAATATCTGTCGAACGCACTTTCTGGAGAAGAACAGATAGCTGATGGTAAAACTCATCCTTGATTGCATCCGGGCTCCAATCTGTCGGAGCATATGCGGAGATGACGAAAAGACATCGTTTCTGACGCCGATTTCTTCTCACTTTGATGAAACTTTCTAATCTAACAGTACATAACCGACTGTTAATGGAGATCCAATCGATTAGTGCTGCCTCAACTCTAGCGTTTAGTGCGACACCAACGCCAGCAAGACCAGACGAAGATGCCACAGGGTCCCCGGATTAGCGCACGTAAAACAAGCTTTTTGAAGCGACAGATGCAGTGCGAATTTGTAGTACTTCACCAGTCTTGAATACGGGTCTCGAATAGACAACAAACATCGATATTAAGACTTTCCAAAGACATGGCCAGCCCTATCTGTTGTCCGACCTGCATAAAATTGAGAACGTTGAAGGCAGCCGGTTTGAATGGTGCCCGTGGTTTCAGAAAAACTGCTTCAGTACTCGTATCCAGTGGTAACGTACAATTTTCAACCGGACAGTGGCTCGAGAACGTTTAGATACAGTCGAATTTCCACCATAGACGAGCCACCGTATAAGTATAAAAGAGGGTGAATAATGTGGTAAATAATAATAATAATGATAATAATAGTAATAATAATCATTTGAATCATATGATTGTTAGTTGAAGCAAGTAAAGTAGTTTCCATAATTATAGGCAGTTCATATTTGTGTGTGGGCTATGATACTGCTCGGGTGCCCAGACCGAAGCAGGTGGTTATCTTAGGGGGCCACACCCCGAGCCTTTGACCTAAAGGTCTGACCCACAAGGCAGTGGAGCATCGTAAGGAGATGCAGTCCCATGGTAGCCGGTGACCAACGATTGGTTCATACGCCATTTGTTCCCGTAGGATACTGGAGCCCATTTGCATCATTGGAACTATTTCACGTCTATCCAAAGGGCTTGTGTTTTATTTTAATGTAGTGGTTTGTCCAGCTGTTCACGCAAAATGTATTTACAATAATTTCGAAACCTATAATTTACAGCAAAATGCCTAAAAAGAAGACTGGACAAAGGAAGAAAGCCGAAAAAGCTAAGATAAGACAAAAATTACTCCGACAAAAAGGACTAGAAATAGATCTTATCAACCATCCTTCGAACATATTGATGGTATGTCTGTATTTTGTTCAAGGTTATCAAATTATAGGAGTGTGGCCAGTGTGGGAAGCATCAGAAAAACCGAGCATTTTGTTATTTTTGCCAGTCTATCCAAAGACTTCCAGTGTGTTGTCATTGTGGTAAACAAAAGTGTTCTGCACGTTCTGGCGATTGTCTAGTTAAACATGGTTCTACACATGTTACTGGACTCAGTATGGTGGTAAGTGTAGTCAGTGGTTTAGATGGTCGTCCTTTGACTAGTGGGTCACAGATTTGAATGAAGCTGCCTGCATATTTCAATAATACGTCTAACCCTTCTAGACCCTGTCTCGAAACTCTACACTTATACCTAAACTTAGTTACTAAGATGCACGAGGGTAGTTTGTAAATCGGCGAAGTTCCATTTGGAGTTCGTTCTATATTTTGGTCAAATAACTTACGATTATAATTAAAATCCCTTTTACATGTCCAACGCTAGTGTAGGATAGTCTTTTTTAAGCTACAACTAAATAATCACTTCGGGGTCTGTATACTATATCCTATAATTACATACTGCAAAAGCAAACAATTGTTCGGATTTAACTAGTTTTAGTAACATTTCTGTACTGAATAAATGATGAAAAAGTCCCAGTAATTATATAACCTGGTAGGAAACTACAGAAAGTGTAACTGTTCTTAAATTAATTTCTCAATTTATCACAATAGGAATATTGAAGTTACTAATCAGTTCTGTTCAGTCAGCATATTGCTACTAAATTATTCGAAACTAAGGAGTGTGTAAAGTTTCTGGCGTTGTGTTGAATAAAACATTGCAGAAATCATGAAGTTAGTATGACTTATGATACCTTTTTTCACCCGAAGTGATGTACTAAACTAACGTTAAGACTACTCGACATTAGTAAAGGAAAAGAGTGACTAGCGTCCTGACACTTTCGTGTGGAAACGTTCAAGCCATTCTTGCCAAAACGTCTGAAAATGACTGACTTGATATATCTTTCTACGAAATAATCCTTTCTTCCTGTGCTATATCCTTATACACAACCTTTCTTTTATACATTACCATTGTAGTGACTACTTCTATGAATTTGATGTTCATCTTGTTGTGCTAATGAGGTATGGCAACTTGAACCGATGTATATATGTGCCTGGTCCTATGTTCTAGCTGACTGACTGATAATACTATTTTAACTTCAGGGAATGTATTGTTATATTTCAATACCTTTTGCTACATATAATGCAGCAGTGTTTAAAAAATGACTAACACTGACAATTTCAATACCAGTTTTCGAAATTATTTGTGTTATCTAACAGACGAGTTCGCCCAGCTAATTGGTCCAAATAAGATTTAAAATTCTGGATTAACCACTATTACTGGAGTGTTTTTCTAGTTATGTTTTAACATATGAAACAGTCAACTTGTACTTTATTACGAGCCCTGAAGAATGAAATTATCTTTACCTTCACGGCTATGAATGAAAAGACATAGATCAAAGCCATCACCTCTGGTTAGACTCATGTAACAGACTCAGTATCTGGAAGTTCTTAGGGTTTATTTTTATCGACCTTCAGACATACCGCACTGCACTATCCATCAACTAAAATTTCATTTCCTTATTCACTTAATATTCAAGGGAGCGGTTTGCGACTTTTGTGAAGCTTGGATATGTCATGGGGAGAAGTGTTTATCTGTACATGCATGTGAATGTCCACTGAGAGACGCTGTTTGTGTTGAGTGTGAGCGCGGGTTATACAGTTTTGGTGGTCGGGTGTTTTCTTGCGCCTATTGTGACCACAAACTTTGTGAGGATGACCAGTTTGAGCACCAGGTATGTTGTTGTTTTATGGAATCCATATAGTTCGTTCCAGGATAATATTGGTAGTGGTTGCTTATAGTACACGTTGGGTTTTATTTTATTTATTTAAATACATAAATAGTGGTACACAGGGGGACCAAAATATATATGCGCCGCAGATTATTGTCATCTGTGTTAAATGTTGATTTGAAGTTTTACAGGACTAACACCATAAAATGCAATCCGTTCATGAAGTGAAAAGATATTAAGTTGACAAGGTAACTATTTTCAATAGTTAAAAAAATCTCAAGAGTTATGTTCCAAAACTTCTCAGTAATGTGAATACCTTCAATAATTACTTTTCTACACGTTTATAATCACATAATCCTTGTTTTGTGTTAAATTGTCATTCCCATTTCTTCGTTTTTCTTACTGACTTCCTGTCGCTTGATGAAGCGAAACGTAAACTTAAACCTAAACGTGTTTATCTAAAACAAGACAAGGTGAACACTAAATGGACATTAGAACATCATCATTAAAACCCTCGAATGAAGAACTGCATACATTGACAAAGTTTGATGCTATTATGATTAAACTGAAATATTTGAAGAACCAGTGGAGAATGGTTCCCACACAAATTTAGTTCTAATTAACTGATAGAATTTGTTTTTATTATATAAGATTTTATGTTTGTACCATAACTTATCGTTTCCCATGTAATATTTCAGGCAAGCTGTCAACGTTTAGAAAGTGAGAACTTTAAATGTGCTTCATGTAACAAAATGGGAACACAAACGTGTCTCCGTTGTAAGGTTACATATTGTGACGATCACTGCAAGAGAAAAGGTGTGAAGTATGAACGTGGAAGGCCTATTCCTTGTCCGAAATGCGGACATGATTTAACTGATAGTTATAATTTGAGCGTATCAGGTAAGTTGTGATAAAATATTATGAAAACTAAACTGTTAAGTTTGATAAATACAAATCGAATAAAATTCAAAGTAATCACGAATGTGTCAATAGTAGATTAGGCAATGTAAATATCTTAACTAAAAAAAATTGACGAAAGGAAAAAAAAGCAGTTGCTCCGATAGCCAATATTCATAGACTAAACGTTTCAAAATGTTACCACATAAGACGTGCTCGAGCTAGGATTTGATTACGAATCATTCTGCCACTCGTTTTTATATGATGAGTAGGTTCCATCTTGACGTATTAAATGTAATCTGTGGTAACAGAATGACAAACCATAAGGTACTGTTGCGCAATAAACCGTATCTTCTCAAACTGGGTATGTTTACACTCTTCACAGATATACGTACTAATTCTTATACTAAAAGCAATCTATTGGTTAGTATTGTCAAGTGCCTTTTGTCAGTATATAAATTCGGGACTTTGATAGTAATAATTATAATCTGAGTTATTCTCTGTAAATGATGAATCTTACGATTTCGGTTGCCTGTTACTGATAATTCGCCTACTATCCAGATCTGTCATTCAGGCATACCTAAACCAAGAATATCATTGACAGAAATGCTACTATTATGAAGTAACCACGTTCGGAGTATATGCACAATATTTCCAACGTATATTTAGTAGTCATATTGATCGTACTCTTAATCTTTAGGAAATTTCCTTATTTGTTTTAATGTTGATTTTTTTTGCTTTAGTTCGCAGCTACGAGTATGGTCGCCAGACATGTGTAGAAAACTACTCTGATGAAGACACTGAGAGCGAGAACGAAGAGGAACAGTGTTCTGGAAAATCAGAAGATGAACATGATGACGATGATTATAATTTGTTAGATAAATTAACCATTAAAAGTTAAAAAGTATTTGTATTAAGTTAAACAGATTAGCGCTGGTTTACTTGACCAAAGTTGTTTTCGTTGTCAGGGTTAATCATTCCGTATCGAAAGGCTCCACGTAATTTCCTGGGAATAACCCAGTTTTGCCATTCATAATTCCTTCCCACCAACCGTCATCATTCTTCTTAATAACGTATATTATTTGATTCTCTACAAATGTTAGCTCATCATCTTTATCACGTACGTACTCGTACATTGTTATGACTGCAGGGAAAAAAGAGCAAATTGACAGGCATAATTTCACAAAGTAAGGATTTCGTTAAGATACTAAAAGTTAAAACGGTCACGAATGAACTGCCGGCTTAATTTACCAATACCTTTACATCAGAAGAATAAATATAAAGATAAAAGAGAAAATTCCTCTTACATATACTCATTAGGTTGTGTCGATTATAATGCTTTCTATTTTGGAGTCGTGAAATCGTTAATCGTCCCACGGGACATCTACAGAAGAATCTGAAATGACCGTACATATTGTTTTTAACGACCACCAGATCGATTTTAACAAGGTCGAAATCGTTCGAAAAGATTTTTCCAAATACAAAGAAAAGTGAGTAGATGAAGCGTTTCATATGATAAGGTAAAGTCTGACTATTCACCCAACGTGGTCGTTCTACCTAAACAACAGCATCTAATCCTGTTTATTTATCACACCATTGATACAAACGAACACATAAATGTCAACACCATCACTACCATACACACAGATATACGGTGATGTTTCGCATGAAAACATTTTGATCAAAAATAGCATAATACTGACACGACCAGACTTATTTTTATTTTGACTAAAATAAGTATTTTGTCTATTCAAACTCGTGCTAACTGTATTTGGTTATTCATTTATTTACTCTGAAGCCGTGAATTGCACTGAGTGACGAAACGTGAGAAATTTAGATTTATGTTCGTTGAAATATCACAGATGTATCATTAATTTACTCCACAGATATATGTATACAGTTGAATTCCAAAATAATGAGTTTGATGCATTCCACATAGCTGTTTATGGTGTTCCTTTCACTCGATTGCTTGATTAATTTTAATTTGCGGTTTTTAATTGTGAAAATATCCAATGTTAAGCGGCAAGTCAACCACTTGCAGTGAGATCGTGTATAACTTTTTTAACCCTATATATATATATATACAGCAAGATTACAGTTAATTTACTAATTTTTCTAATGGAAGGTTTTGATTTGTCGACAATTGAGGGATCATAGGTCAGAATTCACTACACCATTTATTCACTTATTTATGGGTCTGATCCGAGGAATTTCGTCCATGAAATAATAAAGATTGGTACTATAGTCTGTTATTAATTTTTGTATTGTTTGTTTGAATCTTCCCAATGACGTTTAAGACTTCAACTGATCAGTCTCTTGTTGGCATATGTGCATCCTGTGCGGACTGCCCACATCTCTGCTCATAGACTCATAATTTCTTATTCGGATGAACGGATTTCAGGGGGCAGAGTATTCATTCAACAGATAATAGCTGTTAGTTGTATTTTATTATTATAGGTAAATTAAAATGATAAACAAGTCGGGCTTAAATAAATAATGACATTTTCATACCTTTCTCAATATAGAAATCAGGTGCCCATACGGGGTCACTAGGCTGTCTCGGTATTAATCTACTATTCTGCATAGCCAGTGGATCTCTAAAATTTACTTCTTGTACTTTGATTTGATTACCTTGAGGTTCTCGTTCATTATCATAACGAAATGCGCCAGGAGGTGGTATTGTCAAGTGTTCATCAGGTTCACCGGCTGTTTTGTCATTTAAAGTTTGGTGGTGCGACTGCGTGCTTGGAGTTGCTTGACTGGAAATATTTAACTGACCCATCTTTGTAAAAAGAAACATTGCACAAAAGATGGGCAAGTGGGTGAAAAATGTTTTGAGAAAGAGATTCGAAGACAATGGAGATACAAAGAACAGACTGTAGTGTGAATATACTTATATTGGACTCATATTCTGACACCAGTCAAAACCAAGTGACAACTAGTTAGGATCAAAAGGTCAAGAATGAATTCATGGAAGAATTAGCCAGACACCTAATTAGTTATTGGGGAAAAATTTCATTCTGAAGCATGGTATAATATCCAAATAGGTGTACATACAGGTGATGTATACTACCAAATCGGATCAAAAGATTTGAAAGTAAAAGTGGACTTCGGTACCTGGTCGGAAAATTATCTTGGGAGGTCCAGTGATTAGGAATAAAAAACGACTCGAGTTTAAACTCAAAATCTTGCAAAATGATCATGAGCATCAATGTGAGATGAAAGCAAAAGCTAAAGAAAATATAGCAGAGACGGGTAACTATTCCAACTAATAGACGAAGCAGATATTAGAGAGCCGGTTGTTTGGAAAAAAGGAACCACGACGCACATTCAGTTCATGAGATTAGACCAATATGAAGAAAGCTCAAATGATCTATATTTATCCATTATATTCCAAACACTTTCAATGGTAAATTAACACAAGTCTCCAAATCCTAGCGAAGTCGTATAGGTTATATCTAACCTGGAAACATAATCAAGCTGTATTGTGAAAACGCGTTCTCATGTAATACTGGATGACAAAACTTCAAGCAATACACTTAAAGCTCAACTCAGAAGTTAAAAGTATATTTAAGGCTCCGAACGCGATAACGAGCGAAGACAACGCAAACTGATATAAAACCTACGCATGAATTGTGGGCGATGAATGGAGAAGAGATGAGAAAGGGAATGAAACATAACACCAGACATGTCTTCACATTTATCAAAAAAGGCAGGTATCGAAAGCTCAAATATTAGAGTTCGAGTTACAATATCTCCAAACAACCGAAATGGGAAATCGACACAAGTCACCAACTTGAGATAGTGAAAAAGACTAGTAGTTCAGGTGGATGATTTAGGTGGAGTTTAGTTTTCTGAGCTGGATGGTTTGGTCACGAAGCTTTCATTTTTCTTCTAAACAACATAATCAGCACAAACTCAAAGTAGGAGTGAAGTGTTCGAATTTTTCTACACGACTCACAACTTGTCCTGTCGACCTCGACCATACGGCTCAAAGAACAAAACTCCACCTAGGTCCCCAACTCTTAGTAAGGTTAAGGAAGCTATAACTAGCTTGAGTCAAACGAAAGCAGCATAACCTAACAGGCTAACTCTATAGATCTTTAGTAATGACGATGATCGAGATTCTGTCGCTTTCTTATACTTTTTTAACGATTGATTTAACAATACCCATCAACTTAAAGTAGACAGACGATATAGTCCTATTCGGTGAAGACGGTGACATAATCCAGTATTTCAATCAGCTTGAGAAAAGATGTGAACATGTTCGGTATGTGCTTCTCGCCCTCCACATGCAAAATGTCATCAAGATGAATTTGGATCGTCGCCTACTTTGATCATAGGAAGTGAAGTAGTTGAGTATGTTGACCACTCCACTTATATCATAAGTCCCGTAAAGGCTAATGATATTACCCAGTTGCCCAAACGGAAGTAGGTGGAGCGGGGTTCAAACACAAATAATATATATATATATATGTATATATATATATATATAGCCTTCGTTTAGTCTTCACTTTTATCTTGTTAATATACTCTCCCTGTGCTGTTTGTAAAGTGTACAAACTCCAGTGGATACGTCTTACGTCGTTTATGTCATTGTTTAAAATGTGAAGGTTGAGAACAGTAAGTACAAACCATGTAAAATTTCTGAATAGCTAAGTCAAATATCACATTAGGCAACAGCTTACATAAAACGATCATTTATGGAGAGAAGAGTTTAGAATGATCGGAATTTTTAATACCAACGACCTGTTGATATAAGGATATTTCTTTCGACACTGGAACGTATGTTCGTCTAGCTCTTGTTCAAAATTTATTAATTGATACAGTATTCGCTGTACGATTATCTCTCTTACTTTTTAAGTTATTGTCATGTTGCATGTGTGAAATATTTCTTGGTGCTTAGCACAAAGCCTTTCTCTACTTAGTAATAATTTCTGTATTAATATAGCATTGAAATTACCTTATTTATATTTTTGTCCATTTCCAATGTTGACTGTTTTTGGTAAATAACTGAATCCCGAACATTTTGTTGATATTGTGGTAGCTGTTCGGTCAGCAATTGCTGCGAGTGAAGAATTTCTGGGGATTCAGTTGCTAGTACTGAAGTTATTCGCTTATTCTGTTGTTGACTTTGAAGCAGGTGTGTTTGACCGGTTACAACTACTTCATTTCTATCAGAGAGTAAATGACGTTCCTCCTTATTGTTGTGTGCAGATTGAGATGCCCCACCAACAACACCATGAGAAATTTGTGAAGCCATATACTGAGGTTGGACAGTAGGCTACAGTTAAGAAAACAGGTAAGATAGTACAACAAAATATTTATAGATGTGTTTTATGTCACGAAATATAAGAACCAGTTGTTCAGCAACCTTGAATGTCAATTGGCATATTTTTTTGTATCAAAATGAACTTAGCTATTTAAAATCTTGAGTTGAATTGATCATCTTTCGATGAATATTAAAATACTCATGAATTCAAAAACAAAATCAAAGGACAAATTGTTTCACGCATTTCATTGCATTGATGATCGTTATACTTGGTCAAGCAAAAGTAATGAAAAAGGCTCTTTACCTTATTATATGTTACATGTGAAGTATGCATTAGTTGTTCATTGTTGGAGGATTGAATATAGGGTTGACCAGGCGTACAATGACCATGGTGATACTGTGGAGCATTTGAACCTGTACCAGAAGATCCACTTGATTTACGTGACCGGGCACTACTCATAGCCGTACACAAAATATCAGGGTTAACAGTACGATTATTCATACAAAAAGCTGCACTTGAAGCATAATTTGATGATATGCTACCAACAGACGAATTGATTGCACCGGGTATATGTTGCATCGCTAAAGAACCACATGAATTTAAGAATTGTTGAGGTGGCAGCACACCACCACGGCAAATAACAGTTGCCCTTCCAACTGTACTAACTATAAAA